GTATTACCCTCAATGGTCTTACACTTAACCTCTCAGCCCATAATGATCAAACACTGCCCGACAAGAGAGGACCTCTCCCTCGGCTGCAAGGAACAATGCTGCACTCTCTGCTTACATGGATCCCGGGAATTAAAACCTTTTGCAAACCTTTGGAAACCATAATGTATATACTTTTATATCTCATATAAAATATATTTTGCAAAACAAATCTCAACAATTGAAATCGGCTACCGGCAGTCTTGGTTTCCATCAGAGAGAATGCATCCCCGATCATTACCTTTGTCCGACAAAGGGGCTGATCCTGTCACTATGATCACCCATTCAGATCCTAACATACCCAGGTTTTGACCCTGCTAAGGATCTCACTGATTGGCATATCAAAGACAGCCCAGTCCGACACCTAGTGAAGTATCATAATCGAGTCTAGGGGTCAGGTGTAACTTTACAGTTTTGCCCATCAATCTCCAAAGTCTAGGGCAATGCTAGAAATATAGTCCGGTTCAAAGATTCAATTAATCCTACACTGCATGTACCTCGGGTCTCACTCTGGTGGCAGAGACAGGCCACCCCGACCGACTTGGCGGTACATCAGTGTTAGCCTTGGCAGGATGAATCTCCCCGGACTTATCCAACGGTTGTGAACGTTCTAAACTAACACGAGTCTCATTAGTGTCCAGTTTAAGGGTATTACATAGAAACATACCACATGAATCAAATATGCACTTTATTATTTACAATAAATGTCATAAGTACATCAAACTGATTGGAGCTAAGGGCATACAAAACTGTCTAACACAATATGCCTAGTTTTTCTTTCAGCAACTCCATTCTGCTCAGGGGTTCTAACACAGGAACTTTGATGAATAATTCCCATGTTAGAGAGATACAAGGATAAACTCTTCTCAAAATACTCTTTTGCATTGTTAGATCTGAAAATCTTAATTTTGGTATCAAACTGAGTTAAAACAAATTCATGAAATTGCCTCACAAGTCTTGGAACTTATTCACGAGATTTCATTAGGTATATCCAAGTGAATCTAGAAAAATCATCAATAAACAGGATGAAATATCTGTAGCCCCCCATAAAAGATAAGTGGTAAGGCCCCCACACATCAGAGTGCACAATAT